AATTTGATTATTCCTTAATAATTCCATTTTGTTAGAAGCGATCCTCACTGTAATGATTTTTCATAATTTCGATACCTAATTCCTTCATTATCTGGATATTCATCGAAGTGTTCAATTCACTGTATTTCAAGAATTCGTATTTTCAGAATTCCAACTGTATCAAAAAAAACTTTCTTCTCAATTCTACAGTTTCTTGGAAGCTAGTGATTGTCTTTAGGCTCCAACTCTGTTGCTACTCTTGCTGTCTTCTACTTTCCAATCCTGTTATCGTAAATGCAATTGCGCAAACAGAGCGTAGCGCAGTGAAAGTGGAGCCGTTTATCGCGAGCATAATAATGGTTCGACCTCGCTTAGGCCTCTCGTCCTACCAGGGCCGAGAATTTTGTCGCAGTCCTGCCTAGAAACAACCTACTTTCTGTAATGTAAGTGGTAACGCTCTAGCACAGCTGTCCCAGGGCTCCAGAATGCGAGGCAACAAATCGAATTCGAGCAGTGCTGGGATCCGCGTAATAAATATAAGGACGAGTCGTGTGAAAAAACACATCTTTTGGTTGAGTTGCAGTTGGTTGTCCCTGGAATTAGCATATTTTTCCAACATGTTAACCAGGCTACGATATCGACCACTTCATGTTTGTTTCGTTCGCCAATGTATTCATGTGTGGGTACTCTGGCGTGTTTATATTTGACAGATCTACATGCGAATTTATACTAAGCTGACAATTTGTTTTCTCATGGGTTTATACGAGGTTGTTAACTCGTTTGATTTTCGATGGCTAACATTTCGGCGACTTTTCTTCGCAGTGTGAACATATCATCAGATAGCTCGGCTGCGTAGAAAATTATTAAAATATAATGTTCTTTTTTATTTACTGCCTAATGCAATTTTTGACTGCAGGGTATTATGTAAAATCCAAGCACAATGATTCTCAGACATCTGAAAAACTCTGGAGTGCAGCTGCGATGGGGATCGAAAGCGCTATTTCGCTTTCCTTGGCTGAAGCGCTCGCGATCATGCCATGCAGCTCCTTCGTTTCGTCTTTCTCTCAGCTAGTTTTGTATCAACAATACAGTGGTGCCAGCAATAACCTTGCCGTGGAAAATTGTAGCAGGCAGTAAATAAAAACTTAACTTTATAATTTCGACTACAGCCTCAGTTTAACTATGTTCAATGCCGATTTGTACCCCAGGTCGATCCCGTTGCTGTTGGCACTGTAGAAAACTAGCTGAGAGAAAAACGAAACGAAGGTCCCGCATGCTGTGATGGTTAACGCGTTGGACCGCAAAAAGTGTGGTAACGGGCTCGATCCCACTGCAGACACCTGCGGTACCAAGTTGTGTAAACTCAACATCATTGTGGCTGTATCATAACATAAGTCTCATCCTGAAAATTCGTTGGCGGGTGTAGTGCAATGGTGGTTGTGCTATCCAATACGCGCAAGGTCTTGGTTCAACACATTGCCGAGTCAACCGGTCCTCCCATTTCTCCTTGTCGGCCAGTAGCACCAGATTTGTTTGCGAGCTCTCGTCACAGCCACAATAGCTGATGAAATTTAAGACCACCCTATTACTGCAATGCTAGAATTCCATAAAATTCAACTCAGCCAGCATCTACTACATTACTCGGCCAGTATTCACTACATTCCTTAAGGTGAAACCCGAACGCACCCGGTAAAGGCATACAAAAATCCAAAGACCTTCATGAAAGATGGAAGCCATTAAACGATTGGAAGAAATTCTGGGATTTGCACAATATGTGATGTGATCGTAATAAATAACTTTTTATTTACTTCCCTTTAGTTCTCTTTTAGAAAATAAAAAGTTATACACTACGATGTGACCGCTTCGAAAATGCTACGCGATGAAAATTTTGTAGTTTTGGCGGGAAACCTAGTATTTGTGTGCAAACTAAACTCCAGTGCTAGCACTTGCCACTCCTTCATTCTCTCGTTATTCTTATTCTTATTTGAAGTGTGAAAAACATCGGAGTTACGCGAGTAGCACGCAATTATATTCTTAGTGGTTTCACGTAGAAAAGCGGTAAACAAAAATATCAAGGAAAGAAGACTAGCAGGTTTGGTGAAATTGCCGAGGAGAAGACCTCCTCTATCCTACTAAGCTCTCTAGGCTAAGAAATAATGGGAAACCGCTTATTCTCCAGACGACCCTAATATTTTTCCGATGCAGAACTTAACTCACATACTGAGTAGGAAAAAATAACTCGAATGTGAAGCTTATATCAAAATTCTCAAGTGAACAGGACAAGGATCAACCGGCTCGGACCTTACTATTTCGACAAAAGGATTCCTCCATAATGGACCTTTCAAAAGCCATTATCTTATGTGAAGAGGGTCAATGATCACCCTGTGCTATCGCGATAAGACCCTCTTATCAGATAAGTTAGAAAGGGGATCTGAAGTGCAGATCATGGTGACAATCAAGGATTAGAGGAGTCGCCGCATACGCCAAAATGTCGAAAATCAGGTGCCGCGAGCACGTCATTTGTCTTAAAGACACCGAAGTGAACAACAACTATATGATTCGTTGGCAGAGGAATTCAAGTGCAAAACAAGACTGTCATAAACTCGCTTTTAGCCATTATCGAGATTCCAAGCAAAGTATTTTGATGTTCTTCACTAGGGTATGCGGAATTTACTGAGTGGCCTGAGACTATATTGGTACAGGCTTGAGTCAAATCACGATTAGAGTGAGATAGAGAGGCAGAGAGAGCAGGCGATATAGTGGTAGTGTGGTTTGCTAACTGCTATCCTATAAATACTAAGCAAAATCAATTTAAACTCTTTTCTCTAAGCAATTGCAGTTATGGCATTCAGTGGGAGGTTTTGGAGATTGAGGAAAATGTTTCCAAAAGGACTGATGAATAATTCTAGAATTGGCTCTTCCATTTATATTCAATGTATTTATGTTCATATTTAAGAGCGAAAAGTGTCCTGGAGAATAAGTCCTCCCTAACAAAGTGTTTTGTAACGCTAACCGATTCCGGCTCGGACAAATTTTACACAACGCATGTGAAATTGAATTGGGTGGTAGTTTATCTTAGCGAATCACTCGCATTACGCTAAACAGTCACAGTCGGTCATGGTCTTCCTCGTCCAGAACCAAGCTGCTGAAATGTTCGATAGGGGCTACGAAGCGCTCACTACAGTTAATGATTAGTTAGCACCATCGTAAATGTTTTCGACTTAGAGATTATTTGCTCTGGAACAACGATATTCATGAGAAATTCACTCATGCGCCTCAAATCTTCACTTCACTCCTTTGATTTGCTGAAGCTTCTTTACCGATAATGCTAGGCGTCAACAAAGCTTCGAATCCTCATGCTGCTCAGTGACAGCTGTGAAATGTTTGTTCCGCTTCCAGGCTACAATGCCTTATTGTAACTCGAAAAACGTTTCGTTGGACATTACTTATATCGATTTACTGGTTGACAAAAGCGGGAAGAGAGAGGTGTTCTGTTAGCACTTTGGCCAATGACTCGATTCATTGCTTTTCTTACGATTTCTTACCATGTTTGCATTTAACAAATCAACCGTGATTTAACATCGGTAGTGAACTAATCTATATGCGTTTAAATTGTTGTGCTTACACGAGAATGATAAATGAACTTATTCGGCTAAGGTTTCGACATCTTCGCCTTCATCAAAGCCGATGATCCTAGTCGATGGTCCAGAGCCCTTCTTATTCTCGATGCGAAGTCTTCGTTGTTCGTAATGTATCATATTACATTGTTAGTTTATTAGTCTCGTGTAAGCTCAGCAATTCAAACACATTATGCTTGTATTTGCCGTGGTGATAATCCTTGTTCTTTTTGGTCTATTTATGCTCTCTCAGCGTTATACGTTCTGAACGGTGTCCTAAGAAAAGACACACGATGCTGAAGTTTATAATACATTTTCATGTTTTTTTTCCTGTTCTCATTACCATAATACCCCGGAAATACAAAGTTGGTGAAAAACAAACTTGTTCACAATTCTAGAATGAAAGGAACCTTTACCCCCAGCAGTACATCGAACTCATCACTCATCAGAAATTCGTTCCTCACCTAGTCATTGGGCGAAATTCAAGAAGTGGGAAAATTTAACGTGGCTTTATACTTCGCTGACTTGTGAGGCAATTTATGACTCCAGTTCTTCTGTGCTATACAAATTTTTACGCATAAAAAGTCGTCACTTTTATTTGAACTTTTGGCAATTTAGAATTTATTGAACCAGTAAATGTGTTGTACTTGAAGTAGGCCATGTGCAACCTGACCTCAGTATAGAAATCATTAGTGCTCCTAAATCACAGTTAGATGTCACTGTGATTAAAAAGCATCTAGCCTTCCCGGTGACATCTGGAGCATAGCAGACTTTTTTTGCTTATATCCGTTTTTTGTTATTTTTTGTGTTATTTGTTAGGGCGCGTGTGGCGCAGTGGTCGGAGGCGCTCTGCAACATGCACGTAGAATCTATCCCCGCTCTCATGGCTCACCAAGCCTTCCAACCCTCCGGGATCGACAAATTGGAACCAACTGATCTGGGAGGATAGAAGCACTGGTTCGATACATCGATAGGCTACCGCGAGTCATTGTAAAGGACAGATATGCCTTCAATCACCTTCAAACGATGCTTAATGAAGTCGAATGCATGAGCTCAGAAACTGATTAACGCCGAGAGCTTTGTCCTTTTTTATTTTTTTGTGTTATTTATTCATTGTCAGTCTAATTAGAAGGAAACAGAATTATAGAGCTGGAATCGACTAGTGACTCCAGAAGCTTTTTCAACATTGGCTAAGCATCTTAGTTCCATCTATATTTTCCAGCAAATGTAGTCGTTGTGCTAGACGGATTAAAACATCAATTATTTTCCTTTTTATTTTGTTAAATGATTACGTGCAGCGGTAAAGCGAACGTAAGAGAATGTCGATTGTCTCGCTTCATTAGTATTTACTTGGATTAAGGTTCCTCTTTTTTCCCAACAGGATCGACTTCTTCGGCTATGAGGATGTGGCATCTTGCCATTATGACGGTCATTCTCTTCGTCGCCTTGGTTTTGAATATCTACGTTCTAGTCGATATGCACCGAAAGGAATGTAATATTATCGAAACTCAAAACTATGAGGCGGTCAAAGAGGTGACGATTTCAAACGAACATCCCGACAATAGTGAAGAAAATGTTAAAAAACCAAATTTGCTCGCAGTGAGCAGATGCCATTTTTAATTTTTATGATTTTTAAGGGTTCTTTCGAAATCTGGACTGGAGTAATTAACTTCTTCCCGGAACTCCACGATGTTGCACCGAAAGCCTTGCAGCCACTACACTTATCGCCTACGAAATCAGTACACAAAAAGCTGGTAAGAGTTTGAGTAAGGCAGCAGTTACTCTAGATAAAAGAAAAAACAACTACGGCAGTATATTAAACTCAAAAAAAGCTACAAAGAGCGTCACTGAGTGCAGATCCTGTTCTGTTGGAGCAGTGTTGTTCGAAACGTCCTAATCGCCTTCGGTTCCATAGTAAGTGGATGATCAACTCTGACCCCTCAGCACAAGCTGGATAGCGATCACTCAAAAAACAGCGATTCATCAGGTTTTACATATATATATGTGTATATACATATATATAAGCCGCATATTACACATTGCACCACTGAGACCCTTGATTTGTGTTTTTCTCAGCTAGTTTTCTGGCTAACGCTGCCATCAGCAATCATTCGCCAATGGGATTGATCTGGGAACCATAAATCGGCATTGAGCTCAGTTGAGCTAAGGTTGTAGTTGAAATCACAATCTTTTATTTGCTGCATACTACAATTTTTTACGGTAAGCTATGATGTGAAATACAACAATAACGATGCTGAGATATTCGCAAAACTATATGTGTATACATATGTATATATATATAATATATAAAGAGAGAGATACATTTAATGCTATGCTAAATTACTTTTGTTCTCAGGTCATTGGGATACCACTTGCCGCAGAAAGGACCAGGTATATTAGTGGAACACTTTCGTCACTGTTTGACAAATTGGATGAAGATTACAGGTGCGATTTTCACTTCTTTCTTGGTATTTCACATACTATTTCAAAGACGAGTAGCTTTTCCTGTCCTGAACTTCTTTCATATAAGAAGACAAAACCATTTTTTCGAATGCCGTATATATTACATATCACTGAGAAGCTGCAGTTTCATTACCAATAAGTCAATTGCTCTAGAAATTGCATTTTCCAGAAAATTTGAAAGGCTACAGTCTTGTGAAAGAACGATTTGCGCAGTGGTAATGACACCATTCATTGCGCAAACGGGACCAAATTCTCCGTTATTTGGCCCGATAGCGGTTCGGGCCTTCTAAGGTCCTTATGTTTCCATCGTTGGAAAATTGATAACAGACTTCTCTGGAACAAAATCACCCCTTTCAGTTCATTCGGGAACGCACTAGTACTGCTATCTCAGTATTCCAGGAAAAATCGACTTGACTAGCTTCGACATTCATGACGAAGGCGAAATTCATCAAGCGACAGCCAAAACAACATGCGAATAGTTTGAGCAAATGCGAACGGGATACGCAATGTGTGACTTCACGTCTTATCGATCTGCGTAACAAATAAGTAAATAATGAACGATTTAGATATCAAGCCAACAGCAATCTGCCAATCTACTATTACGAATTCAGTCTCGGACGAATCGAGCCAATTTTGTGTTAACAAACACCCAGTTTGATGTTGTTTTCAAAAGTTCGCTGTGGCGAATTCAATCTTGAAGAGATGGAAAGTCGCAGTAGTCCTTCTTTTACTGACTACGATGAATTTCAAGGCTTCAGTGTTCGACAACTTGCAAAAAACTTGATACAATAAGTACCTTAACTATTTCAGAGCATCAAAAATTTGAGCGGTCCTTTCTGTATCGGATTCCCTTCCACGAGATTACGAATACCCACATTGCCACAATGACCAGCCTGGGGTATCGACTCGGATCAACACGGCTCTGAAGAAGGCAATGGCTGCGTAATTTTGCCCCAGTAGAAGTTTTTACACCAACCTAGCGTCAGCTCAATGAAATAAAAATTTACTCGTTCAAGGACAATTCCGGGGCGGGTGGCACGGTGGTAGTGAAATTAGTCATCACGAACACGGTGCTGGTGTTCGATCCAGCTTTGGGCCCACGAAGCCTCTCACACCTACGGAGTGGGAAAATTGGTACCGGACCGGAGAATCGGAAAGCTGATACTGTATGGGAAACTTCACTTTCTGCAATCCAAGTGGGAACACTCTAGTCCAGCTATCTCACGACTCCAGGTAGATCACTATTCTATGACAGTCATGTTGAAAGAAAATCCTCAGGTTTCAGACGAAACCATATTTTAAAAAGTTGGATAACCTTAGTGGATGATGGTTGCGAGTGAGCGAAGCGACCGCGAGAAGTAGTGAGATCCGCACAGTAGACGTAAAGATGGATCTAATAAAAAAAAAGGGGCCAGTTTAACCTATGGAGCTCAAAACCTATGGAGCTCAAAAACTGGATGTCATCCGAATTGAGTTAAAATCAAAAAAATTTTCTAGTTAATTTATAAAGATTTCTTAAAAAATAAATTAAAGAAGGCAGGTATTTGCAGTCCGGAGTTCTGCAAATATCTCAGTATCACTATAGTTATGAACATTTCATTTTAAAAAAACGCTCTAAAATATTGTCGGAATTTGTTCTGCTCAACAAGAACGTCTCGTCTCTCTACCGCATTACAACGTGCAGTAAAGCTGATTCCTCAACAGCAACAAGCGACAAACGTTTCAGTAGCTGGACTGCGATGAAGCACTGCACTTTTCAAAGTCGAAAATGTAGCAAAAGAAGGTCATGCAGACCACTTAGCTGCTTTGTGGTAGTTTAGTCATGGAAGCTTCCTCAATCAAGGTGAGACGATTGTGATTTAGAAGGAAGTCTAACAAATCAGCGAGAAACACCAAAAACGTCAATTTCCGCGCTCTATATTGGTCAAAAGAATGGACCAATCCATAACACTCGGCCACATGTCGCATTACGAAGACTGCCAAGGTAGAACAAATTGGGCTACGGAATTCAGCCTTATCCACCATGCTGCTTGCGTATCCACTACCACTTCTTCAATCATCTCGAGAACATCCTGTGTGAAGCTTCAGAAACTAATCCAAGGCCAAAACTGCCTTCAACGATTTCGTCGTCACCAGATGTAGGGAATTTCATGCAATGGAACCCATGCAAATAAATTTGTTCCTCGTTAGCAAAATATGTGAAATCTAACAATTTTTATTATGTGGGAAACTTTATTTTGAATGGTGATGTGCTACCTTGAAGATACAGGCTGGATTCAGGCATCAATTTTCTGAGAAGGAAGCAAAAGTGAAAAAGGTATTCCCTATTATAGAGTATACCATCATTTAAAAACATTTAATCGAAAGTAAGAAAATTTCCAGTTACCTCTGGATACGTTAACCTGGGGGTGGTGGTGTTATTTAGATCTACACTCGGACATACCCATGTTTTATTATTTTTACCTTTTTGCAGCTCCAAAAACTCCACTCAGAGGATAATTTCAGGAACGATGTAATGGTTCTCCTCATGATTGCATCTAACGAGACAGACGCTGAGAATTTTAGCGAGAAAACTGCATGGATACAAGGAAACTTTTCAAAGGAAATCGAAAGTGGCCTCATGAAAGTAGGCAGTCGACTTGTCTTCATTTCGTTTAAGAAAACACTGTCTCTTTCGCCGTTTCTTATTTTCGCTTTCCCGTTAAAATCAAACAATGGCAGCTAAGTGTTTTATATTTGAAACTTTACGGAAATGTACAGTGTTTGGTTAAACGGTCCGAAAAGTGTTGAACTGGTTATAATCGCTATTTAAGGAAAGTATTTGATAGCGAATTACAATATATTGAAGACAGTAATGGAAGGCGCTCTACCGAAAACTGATCGGGAATAAACTCTCCTCTTAAAAGCTCTAAGGGTGGTTGTTTCCATTCCCCATCCAGATTCATCTAAAGATACAAGTGACAATCAGAAATATTACAAGCAAGTGTTCTATGACCTAAAAATTGTAAGCTGCTTCGATAATTGGCGATTTCTATTCCCTTCTCAAAATCGGATCTACCACGCCTTCCCTTGATCGAGGAAACATTTTCAAACGTCAGTGAGTTCGTAACCACATGTATGAGCGTCTGTTTATCCTACAAAATTGCACAATTTGCTCTAGAGGTAGAGACGATTATTTCACAAGTACAGGTACGCCCGATTTTCTTTAAAGGGGTGCGGAGAGGAATACATTGGCGAAAAGGATAGAGTACTATACGTCCGTATACAGCAGCACTAGTTGGGAAACGTAAAGCCGACGCCACAATGACAATAAAGATTTTGAAGTAAAAGTTACTATAATATAACACCAATGCCTAAACCTCTTGAAGCGTTTTGGATAAATTCCAAAAATCCGGAAATGAACAGCAATGGTGAGCGCTTTCTCATCCGCAAAGCCTGTCGCCATAGTTGAGGCCAATTTTTTGAACTAAACCAGGTATTTTATCTTATTATTTATTGCCTACTCTTTTTCAAGGTATACCGCGAAATATGCGAGACATAACTTCAATGATGCTGAAACAATGTTATACCTTTTTATTTTCCGCCTACTATAATTTCGTGGCAGGGTACTAAGCGAAATACAACCACAACGTTGCTGAGACATTTGCAAAACTCCGGACCGCAGGTGTCTGCGATGGTGAACCAACGCGCTATTGTCCTTTCCGGGGAGTGACGCGTTCACCACCACACCAAGCGGTACCTTCGTTTCGCCTGTCTCTAAGCTAGTTCTATAGATCTCTGCCATCAGTAATCAACCTTCAGCGAGACCAAGTATATTCCTTACCTATATAAGACCTCGCGCTGCTGGTCGCTATCAAGCAACTAGAAGACGCAGAGAACAAAACGGTGAGTCTTAGTTATAATCACAATCTTAACTCTTTTATTTACTGCCTTTTTCTTCTTAATGGCAGGTTATGTTTCGAATTATAACTCGTATGATATGCTGAGATATTTGCAAAACTCCGGACCACAGGTGTATGCAGTGGAGAACGAACACGCGCTGTTGTCCTTACCTAAAAAAAAGATATGATGCTGGACGAGTCCCTAGAGGGTGCAGAACCCACTGGGCTACTCTTACAGGCGGTAGGGAATAATGGAAGATTTCTGATGGTGGCCGCTCGAGTCATCGACGATCAACGGGACTACAGGTGATACAGGCGAATACTTTTGGAAGATGGTGATATTTCTTAAGTGGGCTAAATGCACAAATATCCAAAATTTTTCATGGATCTGTAACAGGGTCGTTTTCAAAACAACATTTACCTTTTTTGTTTCCTTTTCCCCGAACGAAAAATGGCCCAGTAGAAGAATCGCAATTTTACCGTCGATTACAATGATGTCTATATCACTGCTTACAAGATAGGCTCACCATTCTTCCCGTCGTTTTAAGTCGTAGGAAGGCGCCCTCTGTCAAAACGGAATGCAGATCGTCAAGAGCATTCTCAGTCTGCAAGGGATGTGGATGCTTTGCTGTTGTCTTTGCGCCCTTGGTGTTAATTTACATTTGGCAGCACAAGGCACGCCATTACCTTATGAATGAACTGATTCTAAGAACCGTTGTAAGTGTCAATATTGAGGTGATTGCTGTGCCCAAAGCGTGGTACAGAATAGCTGTTCGGAGCGTTCCGCCCACATTTGGTGACCCACTGGAAAGGATGTACTGGAGAACGAAGCAGAACATAGGTATTGTTCATAACTCATTGCTAGATGCATATATGTATTTGTCTATTTATAAAATCAATAAGAATAATTTTGAAATAGAAGGGCTGGGGAGGAACAGCTTCCTGTACTAAATTCAGATTACATTTACATCATGACATACGCCAGTCAAATGTGTGACTATTATTTACAACTGGAGGATGACGTCGAGGCTGCGAATGGATATATGTTAGTTTTCTACTTTAGCTAAAATCTCCTTTCAATGCAATTATTTACGTATCAACGAAATGTGGCAGATCGGCGCACTGATCCGTAAATAATTTCCAACCTTTAAAAAGTTGATTACAAAAAAACATTTCTCTGTTTAAATAATTTTCAGGCGTGTGATCTTCAATTACTTGATTTTCAAGAGCAATAGTCCGTGGTTTCTTATAAGCTTTACAACAATCGGCTTTATAGGGAAACTGTTCAGGTGAATCATTCGAACTAAATTTTCCACTCTTTCATCTGTATTCCGGAATTAAACCTTGAAAAAATTTTGTCAAAATATATATAAAAAAGCGTTAATAGGTAAAATCAGGTGTCCAGAACACGTACGTAATCGCTTCTGTGGAATCGGCTTCTTATTCAGTCTTCTTCCGGTCGGTTCACTGATTACCCTAATGTCGCCACTATCAAGGTCGTGAATCCAGAGGTCTCTCTACGATAGATGGCTACGCTTTCTGAAAGTTTGGCAGAACTCTAAGAAAGCTGTCTTAGGATTTCATCGTGGAAAAAGAGATCTACTTAACCTATCACACCAAAGAAGCCAACCACTTCAGTTAACATCGGTTACAAGACAACGAAATGAATGGTCAGCGTTATGGGCAAGCGCATCATGTGAAGGCAGGCCACTTACGCATCTTAGTAATCACTCTCACAATTTAAGTCGACTGGCATTTCGTGAGCTTTTGTAGAAATAATAAAGAATTTATTAGTATTATGGGAACTAAATGCTAGTTGCTGCTTGCCCATTCAAGCGGTGTTTTCTGGTTCACAGTCTTCCATGTAGTACATTTTCCAAAAATGTGAACTTTGACACGGTTACGCTTATGATCACAAAGCGAAAAATTCGTATTATATTGTTGCATTGCGGGCTGGGAAGTGGGGATCCGCGCCAAGAAATCGCCCAAAAACGCGTTTGCTCGAATTTTATTTCATTCCATTTCTCACATGACGATCTCGAGAGTGGATGTAAAAATTTTTTACCGAAATGGAATTATTTGTCTAACTCCTAAAACTACTTTGATTGTAACATCGTTGTAGAGTGACGATTTTTTGGTTCTGAAAAATTTTTGTAGTTTTCGAAGGGCTTTTCATGTTGAATAGGTGCCCTGACCATCAGGATATTCCATAAAAGGATCACTCTGAACTGAGTCAAAAGCTTAACCGTTTTATTTACTGCCTATTCTTTTTAACGTCAGGGCATTTTGCGAAATATAACTATTACAATGCGGAGATACTTGCAAAACTCCGGACCGCAGGAGTCTGCGGTGAGGAACGAACGCGCTATTGTCCTCTCCGAGGAGTAACGCGTTCACCACCACACCACCCGGATCAGATCTCGTTGACGGGTTATTGCTGATGGCAAAAGATCGATAGAACTAGCTGAGAGACATGCGAAACAAAGGACACGCATGGTGTGGTGGTGAACGCGTTATTCCCCGGGAAGGACAATAGCGCGTTCGTTCCCCACCGCAAGCACCTGCGGTCCGGAGTTTTGCAAATATCTCAGCATTATAATGAGTCAAAAGCCTTTTGTAAGCCGATAGATTTGTAATAGCGCGGTCTCTTGTAGTCTCACGGTACCTAGATGAGTCTAGCTATCGTGTGGATGTGGTTCGTCACAATGAGTGTTTTCGAAAGCGTTTTGTTTATTCTGTTCAGGATGACTCAACTTGAGAATTTGTAGACGACAAAGAACGGGCATATTGGGCGATAGTTGTCGATATCATGAAGGTCACCATTCTTGAATAATAAAACAGTCTTGTTGTTTTTCAATTGAGTGGCTTATTGCAGATCTAACAGTTAATGGCCTGCGCTTCAGAACATGGATGAGATAATCGTAACGTTTATTGAAACTTCACCGATGAAAGGGTTAGTACGATCGAACTTCACTACCCAAACTGATAAATTGTGACATTCAAAAAGGTGCTGGAAAAAATTATCAACGATTCGCGTCTACTTATTAACCTCTTCAGTACTCGCATTCTCCTTTCTTAACATTAAGAAAGGTAGATGTACATGTCATCACACGGCCTTCCAGTCTTCCATTCCAGAATCTGACATGTTAACTCGTCGATGAAGAATCGAAGAATAACTGGTCCCGGTAAGATAACACCCAAACACCTGAAGAACTTTCCGTCACTCTTCGTAAGCAAACTGCCTCGGCTCTTCTCACGCTACTTGTTTGATGTGCAATGAGCCACTCAATTAAAAAACAGCAAGACTTTTATTATTCAAGAATGGTGTCCTTCATTGCCATGTAGACAGAATCCATACAAAAGAACGAAACTCCACTCGATCAGCAAAATCTAATGCATAACGACTGCTGTAGAAAAACTGGAATAGTTTGAGCATATTATCTTGAAATTCTAGGAGACTGTTATCAATCAGTGTGAGAAATGTGAAGGAAAATGGAAGCGAAAGGTTTTTAAACTTCACCTGAAACCGTGGGCAAATCCCACCACTTATGGAAATGACGGGTGCAGTACGAGGAAAACAATGGGAGAAGTGCTAGAACTCGCATCACATGGCTGCAAAAAGCTGGGTATTCAAATATGTATATGTGTATGAAATAAATAAATGATGAACTAATAACCACATACATTGCGGAGAGCTGGGATCTGCAGCGTGGATGCAAAGACGGGTCGTATAAAATAAAAAAAAAGTATATACGTAACGTTTAACGTTTTGTTTTCTGCCTTCTATAATTTTCATG